AAGAGCTGAGGGACAGCGCCCAGGCCCAGAGTTCAGGCCCCACAACCTGACCCAAAAAAGAATAAGAAGACACTTCAGGAAATATTCAGTTCCAGTTCTCCCCTATAGGCAAAAAAACCCAAAAAGGTCAAGAGATTTTGTAAACTTGACTAGTCTAATAGGGTCTAAATGGAAAGTCACTTCAATTTACATAATCAGAGCAACAAGTTCTGAGAAAATCTACCTCTCGAGCTAAAGAAGCACCATGCCCAATCCACTCTAGTCCGAAACCTAAGGGGAGCCCTCTAAGATCACATTACCTCAGGGAAATGTAGAAGGATTATTACCTGTTCATAAAAGTAGAGTGCTCTTTCAAAGTTCTTCAGCCCAGTATAGATCATCCCTCCATAATAATAGTAACATAAAAAGTGTTTTGCATCATAGGCTCCGTTCTCTTTACAAATATCCATCATGTCCACATCAAGATACGGAAGGGCAGGTTTAAAACATTTTGCCAGCAAACAAAGCTGTGAAAACATTTATGCCATATCGCTTTTTTTTCCAAATCATCATTTTAACTTTACTGTGGCAGGATTTAGCAGAAGAAAAATTCATAGATTCTATAAATTTCAAGGAAATGTTATTTTGGTTTACATTTTATTGATTAAAATAATCTAAATGTCAACACATAATTCTACTTATTTAGCCATTCAAAATGAAGCAGCATTTATTTTAAAAATAATAACTGCCTAAATAAGGTGGCATATACCACAGATTAAAAAATAAATACAAGGGGCTGGGAATATGGCTTCATGGTAGAGTGCTTGCCTACCATGCATGAAACCCTGAGTTCAATTCCTCAGTACTAGATACACAGAAAAGGCTCAAAGTAGCTGGGCGCTGGTGGCTCCTAGCTACTCAGGAGGATGAGATCTGAGGATCACAGTTCAAAGCCAGTCCAGGCAGGAAAGTCCATGAAACTCTTATCTCCAATAAACCACCAGAAAACCAGAAGTGGTGCTGTGGCTCAAGTGGTAGATTGCTCATCTTGAGCTGAAGAGCTCATGGACAGTGCCCAGGCCCAGAGTTCAAGTCCCACAACTGACAAAAGAAAAGAAAAAAGAAAAGGCTGAAGGTGGCACTGTGGCTCAAGAGGTAGAGTGCTAGTCTTGAACAAAAGAAGCTCAGGTACCTAGGACCTGAGTTCAAAGCCTCAAGACTGGCAAAAGAAAAAGAAAAACTCTACAAAAATAAAATAAAATAAGGGGCTGGGAAGGTGGCTCAGTGGTAGAGCACTTGCCTTGCATGCTTGAGGCCCTGGGTTTGATCCCTCAGCACCACATAAGAAAAAAGCCGGAAGTGGCGCTGTGGTTCAAGTGGTAGAGTGCTAGCCTTGAGCTGAAGAGCTGAGGGACAGCACCCAGGCCCAGAGTTCAGGCCCCACGACCGGACACAAAATAAATAAATAAATAAATAAATAAATAAAATAAAATACAACCTGTACAGTGGTGGTCCATGCTTGTAATTCTAGCTACTCAGAAAGCCACAATCTGAGGGTTGTGGTTCAAAGCCAGACCAAGTAGGAAGTTCATGAGATTATCTCCAATTAGTCACCAAGAAACTGGAAGTAGATCTGTGACTCAAGTGGTGGAGCTCTAGCCTTGAACACAAAAGCCCAGGGACAGTGCCCAGGCCCTGAGTTCAAGCCCCAACATTGGCTCTGAATGAATGAATAAATAAATGCAGACTCCACAGATGCACTTACCACCTAACTTATCCAATACCCATCTGTTTACAAGGGAGCAAACAAGAGTGTCTTTTTTCAACTAATTGAATGAGGAAATAATGTATGATAAACAGTGAAGATTGCCAGGTGTTGGTGGCTCACTCCTGTAATCCTAGCTACTCAGGAGGCTGAGATCTAAGGATCACAGTTCTAAACCAACCTGGGCAGAAAAGCCTGTGACACTCTTATTTCCAACTAACCACCAAAAAACAGGAAGTGGTGCTGTGGCTCAAAGTGGTAGAGTGCTAACCTTGAAACAAAGAGGCTCATCAACAGTACCCAGGGCCTGTGTTCAAGCCTCAGGACAGGCCAAAAAAAAAAAAAAAGTCAAAGAAAAAGAGATAGGGCTGGGACTGTAGCTTAGTGGTAGAGCTCTTGCCTAGCATACATGAAGCCCTGGGTTTGATACCTCAGTATCACATTAAACAGAAAAAGCTAGCAGTGGGGCTGTGGCTCAAGTGGTAGAGCACTAGCCTTGAGCACCAAGAGGCTCAAGGACAGTGCCCAAGCCCAAGTTCAAGCTCCAGGACCAAAAAAAAATGAAAGAGAAAAAGACACAGGGGAAGAGAAACTATTCTTTTTTTTTTTTTTTTGGTGGGGGGTTAGTCGTGGGGCTTGAACTCTGGGCCTGGGCACTGTCCCTGTGCTCTTCAGCTCAAGGCAAGCACTCTACCACTTGAGCCACAGTGCTACTTCTGGTTTTCTGAGTGGTTTATTGGAGATAAGAGTCTCAAGACCAGCTGGACCTGGTGGCTCACGACTGTAATCCTAGCTACTCAGGAGGCTGAGATCTGAGGATCGCAGTTCAAAGCCAGCCCGGGCAGGAGAGACCGGGCAGGAGAGACCTTGAGACACTTATCTCCAATAAACCACCAGAAAACTGGAAGTGGAGCTGTAGCTCAAGTGGTAGAGTGCTCGCCTTGAGCTGAAGAGCTGAGGGACAGCGCCCAGGCCGAGTTCAGGCCCCACAACCGGACCCAAAAAAAAAAAAAAAAGTATACAATTCAGGGGTTGGGAAGGTGGCTCAGTGGTAGAGTGCCTGCCTCGCATGCATGAGGGTTTGATTCCTCAGCACCACATACACAGAAAAAGCCAGAAGTGGCTCTGTAGTTGAAGTGGTAGAATACTAGCCTTGAGCTGAAGAGCTCAGGGACAGCGCCCAGGGGCAGAGTTCACAACCGACAAAAAAAAAAGTATGTGCTTCAGTGGTTTCCAGTATATTCAAAACTATTACCACTAATTTCAGAGCACTTTCATCCCCTCAAAATGAAGCCCTATTGATCAGTCCTTTCCTATTCTCGCCTCCCACAGCCAGGGTAATCATTACTCTACTCTTTATGTCTATGTAGTTAGATTAAATGACTTGTTATCTAGACATGTGTATAGATGGCATCAGATGAATAGTTCATAAGTTTTCAAATTCAAGGTTCATTCATACTAAGTAAAGTAAGGGGTCAGGGGCTGGGAAGGTGACTCAGTGGTAGAGTGCTTGCCTCACATGCATGAGGCCCTAGGTTCGATTCCTCAGCACCACATAAGCAGAAAAGGCTGGATATGGTGCTGTGGCTCAAGTGGTAGAGCACTAGCCTTGGGCTGAAGAGCTGAGGGACAGCACCCCGGCCCAAAGTTCAAGCGCCACGACCGACAAAAAATAAAAAAGTAAGGGTCAGTACCTCATTTCTTTGTATGGTTGAATACAATTAAACTACCATTTGTTTATCCATTTCTTAGTTGGTGAGCTTTCTGGGTTGTTTCTACCTTTGGCAATAATGAAAAATGCTTTTATTACATGCTTCGGTAGCTGTTGTACTTTGCCAAGTAATATCAAATATCAAAGCCATGAGAATATATTTTTTGTATGATTCCAATATGCTCTTTTTCTGTTGGTTGTGGGGAGTGAACTCAGGGCCTGGGCACTGTACCTGAGCTCTTTTGCTCAAGGCTAGTGCTCCACCATTTTGAGCCACGGTACCACTTCTCTGGCTGTTGTTTCAAATGTTATTCTAGTAGATATGAACTGGTATCACACAATGATTTGAATTTTAATGTCCTTTTCCTGCTTAGGCGTATGTCTGGCATGGCCTGCCTATGTTAGGCTTCCCATATAGCTAGACCCTCCTCAGTGAAGAACGGGTCTCTAGAACTTCTCACTTCAGTCTGGCTTCAAATTATGACCTAAGACTCTTAGCCTCTCACATAGCTAGAATAACAGTTGTTGAGTCACTGGCATTCAGCTTGGAATTACTCTTACAAATAAAAAATACATCTGTCTCATTTTCTGGAATTTAGGTAATAAATCTCTAGCTGCATACATACTATTAAAATAAGGTTGCTAGAACTAGAGGTGTGGCTCAAGTGGTAAGATCTGCCAGCTGTTGGGGAAAAAAGAGCTGAGCAAGAGAGTGTGAAACTGAGTTCAAACCCAATAGACAATGCTTGCCATTAGGTTCAAATCAAGTTTTAGAATAAGAAGACACTGCTGGGAAGGTGGCTCAGTGGTAGAGCACTTGCCTTGCATGCATGAGGCCCTGGGTTCGACTCCTCAGCACCACATAAGCAAAAAGAAAAAAGCCAAAAGTGGCGCTGTGGCTCAAGTGGTAGAGCACTAGCCTTGAGCTCAAGAGCTGAGGGACAGCGCCCAGGCCCAGAGTTCAGGCCCCACAACCTGACCCAAAAAAGAATAAGAAGACACTTCAGGAAATATTCAGTTCCAGTTCTCCCCTATAGGCAAAAAAACCCAAAAAGGTCAAGAGATTTTGTAAACTTGACTAGTCTAATAGGGTCTAAATGGAAAGTCACTTCAATTTACATAATCAGAGCAACAAGTTCTGAGAAAATCTACCTCTCGAGCTAAAGAAGCACCATGCCCAATCCACTCTAGTCCGAAACCTAAGGGGAGCCCTCTAAGATCACATTACCTCAGGGAAATGTAGAAGGATTATTACCTGTTCATAAAAGTAGAGTGCTCTTTCAAAGTTCTTCAGCCCAGTATAGATCATCCCTCCATAATAATAGTAACATAAAAAGTGTTTTGCATCATAGGCTCCGTTCTCTTTACAAATATCCATCATGTCCACATCAAGATACGGAAGGGCAGGTTTAAAACATTTTGCCAGCAAACAAAGCTGTGAAAACATTTATGCCATATCGCTTTTTTTTCCAAATCATCATTTTAACTTTACTGTGGCAGGATTTAGCAGAAGAAAAATTCATAGATTCTATAAATTTCAAGGAAATGTTATTTTGGTTTACATTTTATTGATTAAAATAATCTAAATGTCAACACATAATTCTACTTATTTAGCCATTCAAAATGAAGCAGCATTTATTTTAAAAATAATAACTGCCTAAATAAGGTGGCATATACCACAGATTAAAAAATAAATACAAGGGGCTGGGAATATGGCTTCATGGTAGAGTGCTTGCCTACCATGCATGAAACCCTGAGTTCAATTCCTCAGTACTAGATACACAGAAAAGGCTCAAAGTAGCTGGGCGCTGGTGGCTCCTAGCTACTCAGGAGGATGAGATCTGAGGATCACAGTTCAAAGCCAGTCCAGGCAGGAAAGTCCATGAAACTCTTATCTCCAATAAACCACCAGAAAACCAGAAGTGGTGCTGTGGCTCAAGTGGTAGATTGCTCATCTTGAGCTGAAGAGCTCATGGACAGTGCCCAGGCCCAGAGTTCAAGTCCCACAACTGACAAAAGAAAAGAAAAAAGAAAAGGCTGAAGGTGGCACTGTGGCTCAAGAGGTAGAGTGCTAGTCTTGAACAAAAGAAGCTCAGGTACCTAGGACCTGAGTTCAAAGCCTCAAGACTGGCAAAAGAAAAAGAAAAACTCTACAAAAATAAAATAAAATAAGGGGCTGGGAAGGTGGCTCAGTGGTAGAGCACTTGCCTTGCATGCTTGAGGCCCTGGGTTTGATCCCTCAGCACCACATAAGAAAAAAGCCGGAAGTGGCGCTGTGGTTCAAGTGGTAGAGTGCTAGCCTTGAGCTGAAGAGCTGAGGGACAGCACCCAGGCCCAGAGTTCAGGCCCCACGACCGGACACAAAATAAATAAATAAATAAATAAATAAATAAAATAAAATACAACCTGTACAGTGGTGGTCCATGCTTGTAATTCTAGCTACTCAGAAAGCCACAATCTGAGGGTTGTGGTTCAAAGCCAGACCAAGTAGGAAGTTCATGAGATTATCTCCAATTAGTCACCAAGAAACTGGAAGTAGATCTGTGACTCAAGTGGTGGAGCTCTAGCCTTGAACACAAAAGCCCAGGGACAGTGCCCAGGCCCTGAGTTCAAGCCCCAACATTGGCTCTGAATGAATGAATAAATAAATGCAGACTCCACAGATGCACTTACCACCTAACTTATCCAATACCCATCTGTTTACAAGGGAGCAAACAAGAGTGTCTTTTTTCAACTAATTGAATGAGGAAATAATGTATGATAAACAGTGAAGATTGCCAGGTGTTGGTGGCTCACTCCTGTAATCCTAGCTACTCAGGAGGCTGAGATCTAAGGATCACAGTTCTAAACCAACCTGGGCAGAAAAGCCTGTGACACTCTTATTTCCAACTAACCACCAAAAAACAGGAAGTGGTGCTGTGGCTCAAAGTGGTAGAGTGCTAACCTTGAAACAAAGAGGCTCATCAACAGTACCCAGGGCCTGTGTTCAAGCCTCAGGACAGGCCAAAAAAAAAAAAAAAGTCAAAGAAAAAGAGATAGGGCTGGGACTGTAGCTTAGTGGTAGAGCTCTTGCCTAGCATACATGAAGCCCTGGGTTTGATACCTCAGTATCACATTAAACAGAAAAAGCTAGCAGTGGGGCTGTGGCTCAAGTGGTAGAGCACTAGCCTTGAGCACCAAGAGGCTCAAGGACAGTGCCCAAGCCCAAGTTCAAGCTCCAGGACCAAAAAAAAATGAAAGAGAAAAAGACACAGGGGAAGAGAAACTATTCTTTTTTTTTTTTTTTTGGTGGGGGGTTAGTCGTGGGGCTTGAACTCTGGGCCTGGGCACTGTCCCTGTGCTCTTCAGCTCAAGGCAAGCACTCTACCACTTGAGCCACAGTGCTACTTCTGGTTTTCTGAGTGGTTTATTGGAGATAAGAGTCTCAAGACCAGCTGGACCTGGTGGCTCACGACTGTAATCCTAGCTACTCAGGAGGCTGAGATCTGAGGATCGCAGTTCAAAGCCAGCCCGGGCAGGAGAGACCGGGCAGGAGAGACCTTGAGACACTTATCTCCAATAAACCACCAGAAAACTGGAAGTGGAGCTGTAGCTCAAGTGGTAGAGTGCTCGCCTTGAGCTGAAGAGCTGAGGGACAGTGCCCAGGCCCAGAGTTCAAGCCCCACGACTGACCAAAAAAAAAAAAAAGAGTCTCAAGACCTTTCCTACTTAAGCTGGCTTTGAACCATGATCCTCAGATCTCAGCTTCCTGAGTAGCTAGGATTACAGGCGTGAGCCACCGGCACCTGGCTTCATACTTATTTTTTAGTGCATAAAGCATCTTAGAAAGGATATGTAAGAAACTAACATACACACAGCATCCACAAATTAAAAAAAAATACTACCACAGATTTTCTTTGGCGAGAAGAAATGGTACCTAGCAAATAAGAAGTAGCAATACTTCATATCCTCCCTTTTGCTTTTTTTTTCTTATGCCAGAACCTCAGTATTATTCCTGAACTTTCATACTCAAGACTACTGCTCTACCACTTGAACCACAGCTCCATCTCTGGTTTTTCAGTGGCTAATTGGAGATAAAAGTCTCAAGCCACAAAAAATAATAGATGAACAATGAATGTGTCTATGTGTGTGAGTGTGTGTATGTATGTGTGTGTGCTCATACTAGGGTTTGAATTGAGGCCCTGGGAGCTGTCCCTGAGCATTTTCCACTCAAGAATGGAATTTTACCAATTAAACCATTGTTCCACTTCTAGTTTTTTAGTTGTTAATTAAAGATAAGAGTCTCATGACTGGGGCTGGGAAGGTGGCTCAGTGGTAGAGCGCTTGCCTTGTACGCCTGAGGCCCTGGGTTCAATTCCTCAGCACCACATAAGCAAAAAGAAAAAAGCCGGAAGTGGCGCCATCACTCAAGTGGTAGAGCACTGGCCTTGAGCTGAAGAGCTGAAGGACAGTGCCCAGGCCCAGAGTTCAAGCACCATGACTGAACCCAAAAAAAAAAAAAAGAAGAGTCTCATGACTTCCCTGCCCAAGCTGGCTTCAAACTGCAATCCTCAGATCTCAGTCTCCAGAGTAGCTAGGATTACATGAACCACCAGCTCTTGGCTAAACAACAAATTTACCATATAAAAGTTACCTATGCTTATTCTCAAGTAATAAATCCTCCTCAGGTTCCACATTTGCATTAAAAGAAAATGACCTTAATTTTTCCAAATGTTAAAAATGAATTACCACATCCTAAAAGGTTACTATACTAGCCAAGCCCCACCTTACATATTTCAACTTCTACAACTATATAGCATAATCCTCAGCAATTTATTTTTACCTATTTAATCAATGTGGAGCAAGCCCACAAATAGCCTTATACCTCTAGCCAGGGGAGAATCATACACTTTGGTTACTTACCTGGCAGAGATCAGCATGTATTGAGGTCAGCTGATTTGTATTCATCTGCATCTTGTCTATGGCTTGCTTAAGGATGCCAATTCCTCGAAGGGGCTGTCAGAAATGACATCTCTTTCAGATAAGTTCTCAAAGATGGCAGCACAATGGATCTTAATGTTGTCACTTACAAATAAAAAATAACACTAATTGACAGGTTCTTTTAAATAACAACACGAGGTTTCCATACTCTGTCAGGAAATGCCTGCCCTCATTAAGTCTGGAAATATTTTCTTAAGTTGTTTCTAAGATATTTATGTAATTCAATACCATATTTTAAATCAACAGCTTTCTAAAAAATAACTACCAATAATCAAAAACAAAATTATTTTCTTAATAATTGAATATATTTAAATCCAAAGAAAATTTTTCCACATCATTTATAATAAACATGACTCTAAACTTAGAAACTAAGTTCAAACATGCTGGTATGTTTTCCACAGGGCAATCTGGCCCTTCTCTAGTAGTAGATCACTACTAAATCTAAAATCACAAGTCACAGATGGTCTCTGTTTCCTACCCATTATAAATAATAAGACTTTTTTGCCAGGTGCCAGTGACTCACACCTATAATCCTAGCTACTCAGAAGGTTAAGATCTGGGGATCAAGGTTCAAAGCCAGAGCTGGCAGGGAAGTCAGTGAGTTTGTTTATCTCCAATTAACTACCAAAAAAGCCAGAAGTGGAGCTGTGGCTCTAGTGGTGATAGAGTGCTAGCCTTCAGAAGAAAAGCTCAGAGATAGCACCAAGGTCCTCAGTTCAAACCCCAGGACTGGCACAAAAAGAAAGAAAAGGAAAAGGAGAGAGAAGAGGAGAGGAAAGAAGAGGAGAGGAGAGGAGAGGGCAGGCAGGAAGGAAGGAGAGAAGGAAGGAAGGGAGAGGGAGGGAGAGGAAGGGAGGAAGGGAATGAAGGAAAGAGAGAGAAAAAGAGAGAGACTGATTATCATGTGAGACACAATCAGTCTCTGGTCAGAAGATGAGATTATAAATTACTTATATGTTTTTCATAAAGACTCGGTGGCTGGGAATGTGGCTTACTCGTAGAGTGCTTGCCTAGTGTATATGAAGCCCTAGGTTTGATTCCTCAGTACCACATACCACATAAACAGAAAAAGCCAGAAGTAGTGTTGTGGCTTGAGTGGTAGAGCACTAGCCTTGAGCTGAGGAGCTCAGGGACAGACAGCACCCAGGCCTAGAGTTCAAGCCCCACAACCAACCAAAAAAAGAAAAGCCAGAAGTGGAGCTATGGCTCAAGTAGTAGAGGGCTAACCTTGAGCAAAAGAGCACACGCACACACACACACACACACACACACACACACACACCGTATTAGAACAAACAAAAAGAGATCAGAGACAGCACACACACACACACACACACACACACCCTGTATTAGAACAAAAAAAAGAGATCAGAGACAGCACACACACACACACACACACACTGTATTAGAACAAACAAAAAGAGATCAGAGACAGCACACACACACACACACACACACACCCTGTATTAGAACAAACAAAAAGAGATCAGAGACAGCACGCACACACACACACACACACACACCCTGTATTAGAACAAACAAAAAGAGATCAGAGACAGCACACACA